AGGAGAAAGGATTGCAGTGTGGCCAATCCCTGGGGTATGATTTCCCACTTTCCCTCTCCATAACTCTTTGGCAAGCACATCTGCCCTATGGCAAAAAAACTAAGAAAAAGAAAAAGAAAAGAAATTGTAGGGTTTCAAAGTTATTCTCCAGGGGCCAGAAAATGGGGTAGCGGTTACACTGTTGGGCTCCCACATAGGTAACCGTGGTTCGAATCCCAGACCCAGTGGCTTGAAATTCATGCTGGGTGCAAGTGCATGTGTGCCCAAGATCCCAGAGAAGAATGAAGGAGAAGGGATTGGAGCATAGCCATCCCCCCTGGGGGGTGATTTCTCACTTTCCCTCTCACTGTCTCTGTCTCTCTCTCCAGCGAGTGCATGCACCCTAAGGCAAAAACCTCTAAAAAAAAAAAAGTCATTCTCCAGGCTCCATGCTCCAGAGTGATATACTAAAAATGTAAGTTTGATTAAACCATTTTTCCTGAAGATTCATTTCATAGAGGGTCAAAGCCTCAGTCATCTGATCCAGTCTGCTCACCTCCAGCCTCTCCCTTCACTGAGTCCTAGGCTCCAGCTGGTGCCCAGCCTGATCCAGTCTTCTGTAGTCTGCTACTGGGGATGTGTAATGCCTTTTTGACCTGCCCTGATCTGGGCTCATCTCTCCCTACAAGAATCCTTCCTTGACCAATGCGATGGCTCCTCCTGGTCACCTCCATACTTTATTTACATGTCTTCATATATATATATTTATATATATATAAATATAGAATGGGTATTCTGGCCACAGAGAGGGGAAAAGTGAGAATTTACCCCTCAGGGGGGATGGCTGCACCACAATCCCTTCTCCCCCATTCTCCTTCCAGGATTTTGGGCACACATATGCACATACACACGCTGGCATGAGCTTCAAGTCACCTGGTCTGGGACTTGAACTACAGTCAGCCATGTAGGAGTCCAGCACTTTAACCACTTGCTGACCCCTGTATATGTTGTGTGTGTGTGTGGTTTTTTTTGAGAGGTTTTTGCTATAGGGCACATGCGCTGGCCAGAAAGACCCAGAGAGACAGAAAGTGAGAAATCACTCCCCTGGGTGGCGGCCACACCGCAATCCCTTCTCCTCCATTCTCCTCTCAGGATCTTGGGCACGCACACACATGCTCCCAGCATGAGTTTAAGCCACCGGGTCCAGGACTCGAACTGTGGTAGACTACATGGGAGTCCAGCGAGGTAGCCATTGCGCCCTCTGCTCTGGTCCCAAGAATTATTTTAACTTTATTTATTTATTTATTTAAATTTGACCAGAGAGGAACAGAGCAAGAGTGAGAGGAAGAGAGAGGGAAAGTGACAAAGCAAGTCACCAGGTCCGGGACTCAAACTGTGATCAGCCATGTGAGAGTCCAATGCCCTTAACCACCATGCCACCTGCTGGCCCCCATCATTATTTTTTATTTTCTACAGGGCACACGCACACACGAGAGAGAGAGAGAGAGAGAGAGAGAGAGAGAGACAGAGTGTGCACACCACCGGGTCCAGGGCTGGAACCATTGTTGGCCATGTATAAGTCCAGTGCCTTAATCATCATGTCACTAGCTGGTCCCTTTATCACTCTATTTTGCAGTTCTTTTCTTTTTTTTTTTAAAAAAAAGAGGTTTTTGCCTTAGGGCCTGTGTGTTTGCTGGGAGAGAGAAGAGACAGAGACCGTGAGAGAGAAAGTGAGCAATCACCCCCCAGGGGCATGGCTACACTGCAATCCTTTTTCTTCTCAGGACCCTGGACACACACATGGGCCTGGGCGTGATTTTCAGGTCACCAGTGCAGGACTTGAACCATGTTGCGCCATTTAGGAGTCCAGTGATGTACCGGCTACGCCATCTGCTGGCCTCTGCAGTCATTTTCTTACAAGGTCTGTCTATCCCACAACACTGTGAATTTCTCCAGGAAGCACACTTACTCCATCTTCGTACCCCAGCACCTGAAGCACTGGAAGAATAACCACCTAGAGCTAAGATCGAGTTCAGCTTATTCTGAGTTAAATTTTACATGCACTGACCTGTTAATCCTCACGACAACCTAATAAATTAGATACTATCATTACACCCACTGACAATATTGGAAACTGAGGCACGGGAAGTTCATTCGCCAAGTCAACTGATTGAAGTTCAGATCTGACTCTTGGTCTTCGCTCTTTCGGAATATTCCCCTTTAGTAAATATTTGATGAAGACTGAAGAGTCAATGATGGTCCCTAAGTAGTGATTTATCCTCTTTTAATCTGATCTCCTGAGGGAACAGAGCTGTCACACTACCTTCCACCAGACAGACAAAGTAACTTAGACTGGAAGCGTCAGACGAGGCATCGACTGTGGCTGGAAAAGGCTCTTTTCTCCAGAAATTAAAGGACCGAGAGTGTGCAGATATGGGCACACCCAGGGAAGTAGCACTGGGAGGTGGGAAAGGGTCTGGCCAGTGCCAGGCAAGCTGTCTGAGAGGTGGGGGGTCCAGCGTGGGTTCCGGAAGCAGGAAAGGCGAGCAGGTGTGGGATCTAAATTGGGATAAAGGCGGGGAGAACACTCTTCTCAGAAGATCGCAGCTCGGCTTCCGCTCCAGCGATGGACCCTCATATCGGGCGCTTGTTCATTCGCGGGCCTGGAGTGGGCTGAGACCCGCCCAGAAACCGGGAGAACCGAGGCGTGGACGAGCCCCTTCGGCTCTACGGGGTTTTTGCCCAAAGGTCCTAACTGCGTCCGACCTCTTCTAGGAAGTGGCAGCACGCCTCGGGGTAAAAGTGGGGAGCGGAGGGGGCGGGAAAGAGCCGGTAGCCCCGAGGGAAGGGCGGGGGAGCATGGGCCGGAAGGCGTCCCGAGCTCCGCTAGGAGCCGGCGCTCTCTTTCGACGCCACCCGCTGCCTCCGCCCCCGAGCCGGCCGGGACGGCACAACGTCTCCGCCCCTAGCGCACCGCGCACCTCACCTTGAACGCGGCTCCACCCTCTCCCATCCCATTGGGCCTCCTGGGCCGAGGCGGCACGGCTATTGGCCGAGGTGGTTCGCGAAGACCACGCCCATCTCCCCGCCCCCGTCCCCGTCCGCCGGTACTTTGGACGGCGGCGCGGCGCCCCTCCTCCCCT